GACCTGGAAACGCTCTGATTTAGACAAGCCTCTCGGTTATATCACTGCGGAAAGTTTATCGGTACTCCAGATCGTATACACGGGTCCTTTGTGGTTAACAAAGCTAAAAACTGAGGGACGTTCCAATGAATGAAAGGTTATATTACTAAATAGCAAACTATGCAAATGGACGGACAAAGTCGGCCGGTTACAACGCAGACTTCCTACTTTGCGCACTTTTGTCCCCATCTGTGTGATGGGAAATGAAAATTCACGCCCGTCTCATAAAATGCAGCATCATAAATAAGGTTGTGCACATCTATGACTTGATATGCTAATTATTTAATACTGATTGCCATTTTGTAAACTTTCATGAACTGTCAGTTTGACGATGCCTGTGAACCGGTATCCGTTGTATTAAATCCATTACAGGAAGATAAGAACTATTATTGTCTGAACTTTGACACTACTTATGCGCTGAAACGTGATGTTTTGTTGTTCTTTTCATGACCATCAGGATCTTCCGATGTTTTTAATAGAGTCCCAAATAGGACGAAATGCGTATCCTGGATTCCACTGCTAGCCACGATCCATCATTGACATAATTAGAACACTGGCGATATCGAGGCATCCACACAGTAGCCCATATGCCGATGGAGGCCGATCATTTCGGTCCAATCAACGACGGTGTCATATAAAAACAGTTACGCCTCAATGACATTCCGTCTGTACCATTCGGGACTCGTAAAGTCTTGCAGATTTTCCGACGCATATTGATACCGTGATGCCTGTAAACTGGCCTCTCTCATGTTAAATTAATAATGTAAGAATAAAACACCCACATTTACAGAATCTCGGGGCTTAAGTTTGATCTTAACAACGTGCGTGATGAATTAAATTCACTGAAACCCTTTCTTAGTGGAGCCAGTGGATGTGATACCTGACTCAGGCTTCCCCATGTTGCTAGCAAAAATATTCAGCCTGTCCTCAGACTCTCACACTTTCCCAGCTTCATGGAAGACTAGTCACATTAACCTGTGCCTTAAGAAAGGTTCCACACTAAGCCCGGAAAATTGTTGCCCCATCAACACAACATCTGTCCTTTCACGCATAGTGAAGAAAGTAGTGAAAAACGCCGTTTTCTCTCACAGTTAAGAACACAAACTTACTAGCCTCTTGCAGCAAGGATTTCTGCTTAAGAAATCTTGCATTACGTGTTGCTTAGAATTCCTCGAAAAGTGGTTGTTTTGCTTTGCTTCTATTTCAGGAAAGCTTTTAAAAAGAGCATCACCCTCATTCCCTCATAAACTGAATCCATTTGGGACAAGTGGGATGTCGCATGGTTTGCTCAGCTCATTCCTGTTGAACCGCATCTGAGTTGTCAGAACAGGCCCACATTGATACCTTCCCGGGAATTTCTCCAGTTGAGTAATCTAGGGGTCTGTTCTGGGACTCCTTCTCTTTATGATGTGTATAAACGATGTATGCGCCCGCTTTTGATGGGGAAAAACCTTCCTCTTTGCATATGGCTTCAAAACACGGTATACCTTTCACCCTAATCAACGTGGCAGCATCAATACCACCATAAAAAATGATCTTGATAAGCTACAAAAGTGGTGTGACACGTGGCTGCTACCTCAGAATATACGGAAGTCTGGCTTTATGCTCTTCGGTGAACGGAGTGTGCCAACTAATCTTCGACCCGAAAACCTTACACTCTAACCGCCAAGTAGCATTTGCGACCTTGGAGTAAGGTACTCCAGTGACCTTTCCCTTGCAGAACACGCAACGACACAGTGCTCCAAATCACGCCGCCCCGTCGGCTTCGTCCACCAGAGTTTTCGCCCGAATGAAACCAAACTGATTCGGCATAAGATGTACGTGTGACCACCACTAAAATACTGTCCAATCGTACTCAGTTGCTTGCGATCTACTGACAACCAGAAAATATAGAAAACTCAGTGGCACTTTGTCAGACCCATTTCCCTTAGTAATTCATACGGAGGCAGATGTCATGCTAATCGATTAGAGTCTATGTGGTTAGGGCGAATAAAGTTGAACCTCAGCCTTTTCTGTAGAGTCCCACACCGTGAAGTGACTGCCAGTGTTGACATAGTAAAGTTAGCCGACAAAACGCCTTACGACCTTAGAGACCAAGACTGCCAAGTCACACTGCCACACTGCGTACTGATGTCCTAAATCTACATTTCTCACAACCCATCACGCTAACATTTAGAACAGACTGCATCATGATATCCGATGCTGCAAAACCATATCCCAGTTTCAGCCAACCTTGAATGATTACATCAATGAGCCTGGAGTACGCGGGATGCCTAATGTACCCTACATGTACGATATCATGTTCCTCACTGGGCCACCAAATATCAAGAGTCCAACAGGTGATAATCAAATGCAACCACCCAAGAACTTATCATACGGTCTACCTAACCAATCCTTCATCCATATGGAATCCTGGTAATCGCACTTGTCAGTGTGAACTGTACCACCACGACGTTATGGGAATGCACACGACCCAAGGTCACGGCTGTACTACCCACCTCACCCTCAAGAACATTCGATAGTTCAAACAATGTCTGAATAATTCCAGATTTCGAACTGAGCTCGCTTCAGTCTGTAGAGCGATTATGTTGGTGTTCATATGTTATATTCTTAGCTGCTAGACTCATCTCCTTTGTGCGAGGACTAACGAAGTGTAATGTATTGTTCGATATTGTACATAACAGTCGGTTCACATTTCCAAGGCGATCAAACCTGTAGACTGGTTTGCTTCCATGTAGCTTATGCTGCGTGAAATATGCTACACTAAGAAATCAACGCCATAAATTTGTTCATGCAAGATTCGGACCACAAACTGTAAAACGCACGTGCCTTAATAAAGATGCCATTTAAAATTAAATAATAAGACCGTTCTGACTTGCCATTCGTCACAAAGTACTTGTAACGACAAAAATCTAATTTTTTCAGCCTCAAAAAAGGAAGCACTCTGAGGGGACCCTATCCGGACAAGTTCCTGCGTTCTGCTGTGTAGTTCTCGGACTTCCGTGGGTCAGGCGCAGTAAAAGATGGGTTCAACAATGTCAAAACAGGATTTGCAGTCAATTTGTGGTGCTACTAAAGAACAACAATATATATCAAAATCACGAAAGTACCTCAACGGTGCCGTTGGGCAACTATGCAGTCCGAAACGTCCTCCGGCACGAATACATGCTGTACAACAAAAATCGGTTAACCAACTACAATTGTTAAGTGCCTGAGCATCAATGAGAATATTCCCAACAAAGTGGGACCAAAACTCTGTCTACAAGAATCAAGTCTCATGCGTATCTCTTGATGGAATCCCTGCCCATTGCCGGTAATTCTCTATGATTTCTGTCACCCTCTCAACATACACTACCTATATCCATCCTCATGAGCAACGCCCACTACACTCGTCCCCCCGTCAAACTCTCCGGCTTGCAACCGTGTTCATCGTCTTGGTGCTGTTTCCTCTAATGTTCATGCAAAGTTTCAGGTTTTGCCCACCGCTTCCATTTTTGAAGTAAACTGGCGTTTACTCTTCTCCCTTTGTCCCCCTTTTTGATAGCATAAACTGGACGGCGTCTCTCGGCATTTATGTATGGTCCTTCCCACGTCGAGAGTGGTTTCTTTCTACCATATTCACCTCCTGGTGTACATCCTCGTTCTTTACATTTCACCTGGTCTCCGACCTCAAACCGTTTCAACTCACTTCGTTTCTCCGCTCAGGTGTTTAAGCATCAGCCCTCTGTTTCCGTCTCACATTTCAGATCGCCTGTTTCCGCTCATTTCTCAGTCTAGTCATGTCCCATGGCTGTTATTAGGGCCAGGTCTTACTGTGTACTGCGAGCCGTAGTTTCCTGCCATACATTAGCTGGAACGACAACTTGGTTTTTCCTTGTGCCAAGCCACGATGAGCTAATAATACTAACGGCCGTTCTGTTTCCCAATTTCCTCCTCTCGAAGCCGACCACTCCTCAGGCGCACGGTTATTCAGTTCTATCAAACCGTTAGTATGCGGGTGGTACGGCGTCGTTCTTATACTTCTGATCCCTAGCTGTTCCAAACAAGATTTGAATTTTTACCCTTAAAACAAGGACCTTAGTCGGTCAATATCACTTGCAAAAGGACTTCACCATCTGTTTGCGTGGGTTTCATTTGCGGGATCAGACTCATAAAAACCTTTGGTATCCGTTCTTGTTTACTTTCAGTCTTGTCTACAAACGCAGCAGTCCCTAAACGTTATGCTTAAAATGTTAGTATGGCGAATACAGTGCCGGCAATATACCAGAAAATGAAACAACGCTCTGTACGACATGTACATGCCACTAACCTACGTGAAATAAGTTCAAATGACGGATGGCGCTAAATGCACCAATAAAAGCCTTTTTTATTGACTTAAACAAGCACATATTTTCTGAGTTCTTTAGGCACTTCCAATATCTAATATCCCATATTGATAGTGCGAGCGTAGAAAACTGGTAGTTTTGATCCCTCGCGTCTAGTTCTTTAAAATGGAAACGTCAAATTAACCAAAAGGCAATATATTTTTTGGTCATACATGTTTTGTGCTGCCAAACAGCCCCCATGCGGTTATTGTACTGAACTACGGCTACCTCTTTCCCCCCCCTCAATATCACCTGAAAATCTACTTTTCTCCTTTTTCCCTCCTTCTACTTCCTTCACAAACAGCATCCCCATCAATATATACTCCTCCCCCTCATTTCTCCTTGATTTTCCATTTTCTTCACTCACTTCCCCCTTTTTGCCAAACTGGGAATGGATCGGCAAGATCGATAAAGAATACTCTCCAAATAGGTCACACAGATTAATTTCTTGTTAATGCTAACCAGGATGTCAAGTTGTCATACATTACCTGACTTTACTTTTGTGATAATAATGTTCAAAAGCGCAAACATGTGAAGTTAAATTGGTATTTCTTGGTTGCATCAAAAGGGAATACATATCTAGAAGTTTGGCGGTAAGTTTGGCAGGCGTCTTCTTGATATTGTTTGCTGATCCAAGTGTTTTAGTTCTGTTGCACAGGTCTCACTGCTCTCTTACTATTTGTTTGTAGTGCACCTTCAAATAAAAAAGAATGCCGCGGGCATCTGCTCTTCTAGTTAGCGATTCGAGGCAGCAGTTTACCTGCTGCCTATGTCTCCATGTTAGGACAGGAACTATAATATTTGGAATCGCACAAATAGTGATTCAGCTTATCTTCATATCATTTCTCTTCTTAATGGCCTTCAACCCACGACTAATACCGGAGGATACTCATGGGAAGCTGGAGCCATCTCAAGCTAATATCCGTAAGTTAGCACATTCTGCCTATCCGGCAAACACTGGATGCACTTTGAATTTTTTGAATAATTTCCGAAATCAAATTTCAACACACTTTAAAATTTTAAGTGTATTCTGAAAACCAGCTGACGAGATTTCACTCTCCAGGGTGACATTTAACTGTCACACATTTTGTGTTCTGCGACTAAGCGTCCACAAATTCAAATGCTTGTCACGCACACTGCATTTTAGGAGTCTTGTGGATTATTTCGAAAACTATTCGTACCGCAAGCATGAGATATTTTTGGCGAACTTTGCAATCTTTATAGTTTTGAAAGAAAATCCTTGACACATCAGAATATTGGTTTATTTCTGTGAGCTCACTCAAAAATGTTTTGCTGGTTATTACTCAAGAAACAGAGTGTTTACCAGCCGGGTGCTTACCCTCTTCTTGCCTCAGATATTGTCTTCTTTCCGTCTTCTTTTGAAATTTAGCTGACTACTCAGTTGTTTGCATAGATTTAGTTTGTCAGAGCAGGGCACCGTTGCTGCTGTCATGCACAGCTGGATGTAATGTCGGACTGCTGTCCCTCCAAGTTTCGTTGTTCCAGGTCTCATGTATCATTGATATTCCTGATTACAACTGTAAGATTTAAGACAAAATTGTATGTGTGAATGAGTTCCCAGATGGGTAAAGCTTATGTTGTAATTTTTCGGTTTTGCCGAACTACTTTCTAGTGCTTTATGGTTAGCATATATGCTTGTTTCGCCAACTCTGGTCAAATGTTCTTGGTCAGAATAACTTTTCATGTAATGAAGTCGTTAAGTATCGCAATGCAAGGTTATATTGTTCTACTTCACATTGTATTCATACGGTTAGGGGTTGTCTTATAGGCTAATGTATATACCACTTCAAATTTTCGGACGTAATCTACGGAAAATTCCAGGGCTAGGTTTCGTGAGTGCTTCCACTTTTCAGAAAGTCTTTTTGACTACGTCGAGGCAATTGGTTTCCCTTGCAAAATGGGGACGTGGACAGAAACATCGTGCTTTAACCTAGTCGATCTACACTGATTAAAAAAGGTGATTCGAGGTTTTCAGCGTATCACTAAATTTGTTTAGATAGTAAGTAAGACAAAGCAGTCACGGACAGTTAACTTTTCATTATTGTGAGAGGTTTTGCGGGTGCATTCTCGTTTAATGTTTCTATGTGAGGTGCGGAAGCTTAAACGGTTGCACGGTAACGTCAGGTTCCATGTTACTAACTTACTGAGGGTCGGGTTGTATTGCTAACTGGGAGAGTAGTCAGCGTCAGGCATTCATTTTGGGTGACCAGCTCCTCATTCTCGTTTCCTTTTCACTTCGAAAAGAGATCAGTCAATGTCGACATGTAACCTTGGAACACAGCGTCAAAGTTGCCACACTTCACACCAACGCATGCACTAAAATGAAAGGCGCAGAAGTAAGTCACGAAAAATTCAAGTGGTACAAAGTCACAGAATGTGGAAGTACGGAAAAAACAGTGAGGGGACTGAACGCAAATATTAAGATAAAGACGTTTGGTTCACTGATTGGTTCTGAGCTATATCACTCATAGTTCACAACCACCGTTTTCTGATATCACGTGGACCCCTACCAGAAAGTATGCATTTCCCAACACTGCTCACATCAACAGTCAAAGACTTCATAGACTGGTGGAATGTTTTAGTCTCGCCACCTAACTCTTTTGTCTTAACCTACTTCAGCTAACATTTCACCATGTTGGGAAATGCATACTGGTTTACTTCCATGTGACATCAGAAATCGATGGTTGCAAACTGTAAGTGATATGACTCAAAATCAATCTCAGTGATGCAGATGTATCCAAACATTGTCTTTATCTTGATATTTGTGTAGAGCTCCCTCATTGTTTTTTCCGTACTTCTTCCCATCACTTTCAACCACAACTTATTTCTCTTTCATCTTGGTATCTTTTACCTTCACATATTCATGTGAAGTGTAGCAACCTTGTTCTGTGTTCATACTAACTGCCATCATTTCTCTGCGGGGAAACTAAGCTGAAAAGATTTAATGTACATACGTGGATATCGCCACCGGCTTTCCAGCGAGTGGTAGGTTAAGGAATTTGTGAGGCGTGTTAACTTAGATGTGAATCGCGCCTCAAGTGGTTGGACCTAGCTGGTCTGCATTATGCTAGAAAGCCCCAAGGAAACAAGCATTAATTGCACTCTAGTGAAAATGTTTCAATTTAAGGTAGATATACAACGTATGTGGTTGGATGGATTTTAACTTCCAGTTTCGTGAGGTTTCAGTTAATGAACTTGCAATAATCTCTCGCCCAGTTGACTAGCTCACTAGTTATTAGCCGGTTCTCAGCCCGGATAGAGAGGGAAGGTTGAGAATAAGGCTAGCAACCCTACCCCGTAAAACCAATTTAACCGCTAAATAAACTTCAAAGGAAATATAAAAAATAAACCTACTACTCGCTGGAATCGGAGAGACGAAATGATGCCACTTAGTGAAAGCCTTCGGAAAGCCAATTGGCCGATGTCTCTTTTCTTCTCTCGATGAAAGCGAAAGTAAACGTGAGGACATGGAATGTCCGCATCATGTATGAGCCTAGCAAGACTGCCCAGATTGCAAAAGAGATGAGAAGGTATAGCATAGAAGTGCTAGGAATCAGCAGATTGAATGGAAGTGGACTCTCCCAACTGTCAACTGCAGAGGAGTCAATAATCTACTCCGATATTGTCACTCAGACGACAACCACGAACAAGCACATTGAGTTTTGGAATGGCTATCATGATGTCCCCTCCCAAGAACATCGAAGGCTCACTCATGCAGTGGGAGCCAGTCTCCTGCAGGATCATGATCATGACAGCAAAATGGATTCAACCCAAAAGGAAGGAAAGTCACAATCATTCTACGCTACGCTACGCACCTACAAATAATGCAGAGCAAGAGAAGAAGGAGGAATTCTATAGACAACTGAAATCAGTACTAGACAAGACTCCAGATGGGGATATCAAAATTCTAATGGGCGACATGAATGGCAAGCTGGGAGCGGACAACACAGGAAGAGGACTAACTATGGGTCGAGGAGCACTCGGTGAAATGAATGAGAACGGTGAACCATTTGCAAATTTCCGCGCATTCAACGATTTGGTGATTGGAGGCAGTGTGTACAAATACAAGGATATTCACAAAGCGAGCGACATGGATTTCACCAGACACCAGGGCACACTAAAAATCAGATCTACTTCATCTCATTGTGAAGAAAGTGGAGACGCAGTCAGCCTACTGGACACAAGATCAGACAGATGAAGAAGGGGGGCAGATATAGGTTCTCACCACTCACTATCTAGTGCAAGGAACCTACCTTCAAAATAAAGTTGAAAGCCTTCACAGAAGTTGGTGATATGCCACAGTTGAATTTGAACACCCAGAACAGAAACTGAAGGATGAAACTTGAAAGGAAATCTTCACGCCGGTTGGTTATTAGGACAAAGTGGGAGATATTGAGCAACATGCCTGAGGGAACCTGAGTATAAGAACACTGGAACTCTTCGAAGGAGATGTAGAAAGAAACCTGCACAACCGTGTTAGGAAGGAAGAAGAAGAAGAGGTGGGCCGAGAAATGGATCTCGACAGACACATGGAAGCTGATAGGGGAGAGGAGGAAGGTGGTGAAGCAGAAGATGAATCAATGTAGTGCAGTGCAGTGCAGTGCAGAGATGAACAACGAAAAGAGGAACTGAATACAACGTATGAAACACTAGACAAAGAAGTGAAGAAGGGTGCGCGCAAAGACAAAAAACACACTTACGACACATTGGCAAGTGAAGCAGGATGGGCGGCTGGTGTGAGAGACGGAGATCTGACAACATTATATCAAATAACCAGGTTACTATCTGGTAGAGAAGAGATCAACACAGACAAAAGCAATGACAGATAGTGAAGGGAAGCTAGTTACTAAAGAGGAGAAACAAAGGAAACGATGGGCTGACCACTTCAAGAAACTCTTGAATCGACCCACACCACCACCTGCAACTCGTCCAGAAATACCACCAGCAGCCCAGTCACAGAACTATCAGTGAACACAAGCCCTCCGACAAAAGCAGAAGTGAAGTTCTGAACGCCATGAAGTCACTGAAGTCCAAGAAATCAGTAGGACCAGATGGAATCCCACCAGAAGCACTGAAAACAGATGCAGAGACAACAGCTAACATTCTCACACCACTACTGCAGAAGGTTTGGAAGGAGGGAAGGAAGGAAGGAAAGGTACCTACCCATTGATTGGAAGAAGGGCTACCTTGTCAAACTCCCAGAGAGAGGAGACCTTAGCCCTTGCAAGAACTGGCGCGGAATCATGCTCCTGTCCATCGCAAGCAAAATATTATGCCACATCATCCTGGAAAGATTGAAAGGTGCTCTGGATTCGAAGTTACGACCGGAACAGGCTGGCTGGCTTCAGGAAGAACAAATCATGTGCGGATCAAATTGCAAGGCTAGGCTACGCATTATCCTAGAACAGAGCGTGGAATAACAGTCAACACTACCTGGATCTGGATTTCTCCGATGATGATTTATGTCTGATGTTTGGTCGCACAAACTCGAAGATCTACAGGCGAACACTAACAAGTTGACAGAAGAGGCTGGGCAGCGAAGACGAGACTTCACCTGAATGTAGGGGAGACAGAGGTGATGATGATACCCAACCAACAACAACATGAACAACAAGCACCAATCACCATTAACGGGAGAAACCTAAAGGAAGTTGCCTCTTTCACCTATCTAGGCAGCATTGTTTCAACTACAGGCGGCACAGACACAGACGAGGACGTCGAAACCAGGATGAGAAAAGCAAGACAGGCTTTCACTAATCTGAAACCGGTGTGGAGATCTTCTGCACTCCACGCAGCACAAAGAACAACATCCGGATTTTCAACACGAATGTCGAGTCAATGCTCCTATATGGTTGAGAAACTTGGCGCGTCATGGAAAGCATTTCCAACAAACTACAGACATTGATCAACAACTGTCTATGCTAGCTCGTTACTGAAGATCAGATGGCCAGAATAAGAACAAGAATAAGCAACAAGGAACTCTGGCCTGCCAACAAACCAACCAAGAACCTATCACTCAACAAACAAGCATTAGAAGGAAGTGGAAATGGATCGGGCATACACTGAGAAGGCCGACTGGGAACATCACGCTTCAGACCAGGCCGTCGAGTGGAACCGGAAGGGGAAACGACGAGTTGGTCGTCTGAGGCGAGGGTGACATGTAGGAGATGGTGTGAGGAAGAAATGAGAGCTACTGTGCTGTTGTGGAGCCAGGTTCAAAAGTTTACAGAGAAGAGAGTGCACTGGAGATGTGCTACTGAAGCCCTATGTTCCATTACCAGCCCAGGGGAAAAAGTAATAATAAAATAATTGTAGTAGTTGTAATATATCTCCGCTGAATTTAATTATATATGCTATTAAAATAGTAATTTTGTGGGTTTGTTTTCCGAACCAGTTATTTAGTGTCAACGTTTAATTTATTGGATTCGTCGAAGTTGAGGAGACAGGATTATGCTTACTGATGTGTAGTCATGCTTGACTGGTGGTGCTTAGTACGATATTCTTACTGCAGTCAAATTGTTAGCCACTGTCTAAGCCACTCAAATTGCATTTGATGTAAAGTTTTTCTTCAGCTTGATGGTATTTTTATGATTAGTGCTGTACAGCTTAACAATGCAACTGAATGTTCATGGTTTTTTCTTATCTAGCTTGAGCTACACATTGTATGAAAATTAGTAATACTGTCGACTTCTCATACATCAGTCGGTATAATGAGGTTAGAACTTGTCTTCAACGTTTTAAGAGTTAGGGGACTGATTCAGTGAGTGCTAGTTCTACATTAATACATACTTAACTGTTCTATACTGCTATGAATTAGTCGAGTCGGTTTCACTGAATATTATTCATTTTGTTGTTTTCTCGTTCTTAAGGTTTCTACGTTTTCTCAGCACTTTTCCGTCTTGTTCCTGCTGTTTCTGATATCCATGAGTCATTAACACTCCCCTCTCCTGGAGCTCAAAATCTTGATGATAAGAAAATTACTATCACTCAGAGTCTGGATCCCGACTCCAACTTTATGAGTGATGTTCCAGGTTACAAAGATGGTTTCATCATGGATGTCAACAATATGCCTCCAAGACTCTCTTTCGAAACTCACAAACAAGATCGTTGGGCTCATGAAATTAAGATGCGTCATTTTAGTCCGTATATCGCCGTTTGCGTGACAGCATTTTCCTTAGCATTTTGCTGTTTCATGGTCCACGGAGCAGTCACACGGCAGCCGACTCACCTACTTCCATTTTTCTTCATTCAAGTCTTCGATCTCATCATATGTTTTATTCACATACTTGGATTTATGTCTTCAGCATCAGATCTGCGTTTGATGATTCACACCAAGGTATGTCTATTCCCATGGTTATTCAGTACTTATTTTTTCACTGCTATTTGTCGATATTTCAAACTCATGACATTTCATTACTGTGAAGAGGGTTGTGGGTGTATTTTCGTTTAATGTTTTGATATGAGGTGTGGCAGCTTAAACCGTAACTAAGCTATAAGGCACGTTAATTACCCAAGAGCCTATGCTGTACTACAGAGTAACCCAGAAGGAAATGGGTAAAGCAGGATTGAACCTCAGGGAAAGTACATGATGCGTATGGACAATGTTGAAATATATTTTGTTTGTATGATTCACAGTTGGGGATCGCAGGCAGCATAGAAATTTCCGTTGGTTAGACGCTTATTTTCATCAGTTGTAACTCAAAACCCTCGTGTAACTCCTACTTATTCATTTACTCAGTATTGCAAATTTAAAGAGGTTTTACTACGTATCATGTTCATAAAATGGGTGAATCTTCCGGAAAAAGTGAATTAATGCCAACGATTTCGGATTATTTCTGGCTTAAACTGTCTACCGATATCATCTCATCATTCTATCTTCTTACCCAATTGCCACCAAAGTAGTGATATCGTCAAATGAAACATCTATGCTCTTGGAGCCACAAACAATGAATATTTTATTCTGTTAAGTTTCTTCACCGAAAACGTCAGCATGACTTCTGAAGATAGTTCATCGTTTCTTAACGTTTACTGTTACCAAAATGTCAACAAAGGATCCTAATGTAACCACTTCCACAGGTATGTGAGTTTATGGTAACCTATTTGTTTGTACACGAGGACTTTTAGAAATGAATGTGGCTCACTTTGTGGCAAGTGTATTTCACCTCATTGCAACTGATCAATGAAACAGGGAGTTAAATTGTGTATAAATTGCGTTAAATACTAGCTTTTATATTCACCAGCAGTGGTTTGTGTTTGTTCATTTGGAACATAAACGATTTGGACTATTTCAACCAAGCTGGTGGTACTATAGTACATCGCTAGATATAACTATAAAAGTTGGTAGCAGATAACATAAGATACCAAATATTCTACAACAGATGTTTTCGGGAGCGTCTTTGAAACATGATTGGTTGGTGGGATTATTAACGCTGGGAGCTTGTTATTGAGTTTCAGAGAAGTTAGTGGATAGGTAGACGTACACAGACGAAGATAGTTTTATCATGAGTTTGGGGATCCCGAGTTATTGTCTGTTGCAACGTGCGAAGCTGTCTGTTATAGTGCCTAAGTGATAGGGCCAAAAGCTTACTAGTAGGACTGAAAATCTACGACAGGAAATTAGACACAAAGAACACCCTGCCTCTCAATAATTACCAATTTAAATGTATAAATAGATTTATACGAAATGGAAAGAAAAATATGAGCAGTAGTAGCAGTTACACAGGTTGTATTAATAGTAATAAGTCTACTACTAATAGTAATAATTGTGACAGGGCTGAGAGAGAATTCAAAGCCTCTGTTGTGTTACCATACAAGGAAGGCAGGCACCTCAGAGGCCTTATGAAGGATTCTCAATAAGGCTGAGATTATAAGTGCGATTTAAACCAACGGACTTTGCAGGTTAAATCATCCTATTGATCCAATTAGGCAAAATAATTTAGATTACCAAATCCTTTGCAATGATTGGGAGGTCAAATACATAAGTCAAGGAAGTGGACCAAGGTTAATTAGAATAACAGAGCACAAAAACAGCTAGTTCAAAATTAGCAGATCCTAGTAAAATAAGAAACTTAGAAAAACGCTCAGCTATACGTAATCACACAATAGGGTGGGATAGAGACAATATTAAGGACTAACCCAAATAAGTAGAAGAAGAGGTTGGCACCCGAATCTTTGTTTCGAAATAACACCAAATAAATGCAATAGAAATGATTCGACACCCGTTCCAGATATGGAAAATTCGACTACTCTTGTCAAAAAAGAAGAGGAAACTAGGACTACATAAACTCTGTGTCAACGTTGTGGAGTTACCTAATATGAATCATTATTTGTCCCTTGGGTTCGTAATGGAACATAGGGCTTCAGTAGCACGTCTCCAGTGCACTCTCTTCTCTGTAAACTTTTGAACCTGGCTCCACAACAGCCCAGTAGCCAGTCGGCCTTCTCAGTGTATGCCCGATCCATTTCCACTTCCTTCTAATGCTTGTTTGTTGAGTGATAGGTTCTTGGTTGGTTTGTTGGCAGGCCAGAGTTCCTTGTTGCTTATTCTTGTTCTTATTCTGGCCATCTGATCTTCAGTAACGAGCTAGCATAGACAGTTGTTGATCAATGTCTGTAGTTTGTTGGAAATGCTTTCCATGACGCGCCAAGTTTCTCAACCATATAGGAGCATTGACTCGACATTCGTGTTGAAAATCCGGATGTTGTTCTTTGTGCTGCGTGGAGTGCAGAAGATCTCCACACCGGTTTCAGATTAGTGAAAGCCTGTCTTGCTTTTCTCATCCTGGTTTCGACGTCCTCGTCTGTGTCTGTGCCGCCTGTAGTTGAAACAATGCTGCCTAGATAGGTGAAAGAGGCAACTTCCTTTAGGTTTCTCCCGTTAATGGTGATTGGTGCTTGTTGTTCATGTTGTTGTTGGTTGGGTATCATCATCACCTCTGTCTCCCCTACATTCAGGTGAAGTCTCGTCTTCGCTGCCCAGCCTCTTCTGTCAACTTGTTAGTGTTCGCCTGTAGATCTTCGAGTTTGTGCGACCAAACATCAGACATAAATCATCATCGGAGAAATCCAGATCCAGGTAGTGTTGACTGTTATTCCACGCTCTGTTCTAGGATAATGCGTAGCCTAGCCTTGCAATTTGATCCGCACATGATTTGTTCTTCCTGAAGCCAGCCAGCCTGTTCCGGTCGTAACTTCGAATCCAGAGCACCTTTCAATCTTTCCAGGATGATGTGGCATAATATTTTGCTTGCGATGGACAGGAGCATGATTCCGCGCCAGTTCTTGCAAGGGCTAAGGTCTCCTCTCTCTGGGAGTTTGACAAGGTAGCCCTTCTTCCAATCAATGGGTAGGTACCTTTCCTTCCTTCCTTCCCTCCTTCCAAACCTTCTGCAGTAGTGGTGTGAGAATGTTAGCTGTTGTCTCTGCATCTGTTTTCAGTGCTTCTGGTGGGATTCCATCTGGTCCTACTGATTTCTTGGACTTCAGTGACTTCATGGCGTTCAGAACTTCACTTCTGCTTTTGTCGGAGGGCTTGTGTTCACTGATAGTTCTGTGACTGGGCTGCTGGTGGTATTTCTGGACGAGTTGCAGGTGGTGGTGTGGGTCGATTCAAGAGTTTCTTGAAGTGGTCAGCCCATCGTTTCCTTTGTTTCTCCTCTTTAGTAACTAGCTTCCCTTCACTATCTGTCATTGCTTTTGTCTGTGTTGATCTCTTCTCTACCAGATAGTAACCTGGTTATTTGATATAATGTTGTCAGATCTCCGTCTCTCACACCAGCCGCCCATCCTGCTTCACTTGCCAATGTGTCGTAAGTGTGTTTTTTGTCTTTGCGCGCACCCTTCTTCACTTCTTTGTCTAGTGTTTCATACGTTGTATTCAGTTCCTCTTTTCGTTGTTCATCTCTGCACTGCACTGCACTGCACTACATTGATTCATCTTCTGCTTCACCACCTTCCTCCTCTCCCCTATCAGCTTCCATGTGTCTGTCGAGATCCATTTCTCGGCCCACCTCTTCTTCTTCTTCCTTCCTAACACGGTTGTGCAGGTTTCTTTCTACATCTCCTTCGAAGAGTTCCAGTGTTCTTATACTCAGGTTCCTCAGGCATGTTGCTCAATATCTCCCACTTTGTCCTAATAACCAACCGGCGTGAAGATTTCCTTTCAAGTTTCATCCTTCAGTTTCTGTTCTGGGTGTTCAAATTCAACTGTGGCATATCACCAACTTCTGTGAAGGCTTTCAACTTTATTTTGAAGGTAGGTTCCTTGCACTAGATAGTGAGTGGTGAGAACCTATATCTGCCCCCCTTCTTCATCTGTCTGATCTTGTGTCCAGTAGGCTGACTGCGTCTCCACTTTCTTCACAATGAGATGAAGTAGATCTGATTTTTAGTGTGCCCTGGTGTCTGGTGAAATCCATGTCGCTCGCTTTGTGAATATCCTTGTATTTGTACACACTGCCTCCAATCACCAAATCGTTGAATGCGCGGAAATTTGCAAATGGTTCACCGTTCTCATTCATTTCACCGAGTGCTCCTCGACCCATAGTTAGTCCTCTTCCTGTGTTGTCCGCTCCCAGCTTGCCATTCATGTCGCCCATTAGAATTTTGATATCCCCATCTGGAGTCTTGTCTAGTACTGATTTCAGTTGTCTATAGAATTCCTCCTTCTTCTCTTGCTCTGCATTATTTGTAGGTGCGTAGCGTAGCGTAGAATGATTGTGACTTTCCTTCCTTTTGGGTTGAATCCATTTTGCTGTCATGATCATGATCCTGCAGGAGACTGGCTCCCACTGCATGAGTGAGCCTTCGATGTTCTTGGGAGGGGACATCATGATAGCCATTCCAAAACTCAATGTGCTTGTTCGTGGTTGTCGTCTGAGTGACAATATCGGAGTAGATTATTGACTCCTCTGCAGTTGACAGTTGGGAGAGTCCACTTCCATTCAATCTGCTGATTCCTAGCACTTCTATGCTATACCTTCTCATCTCTTTTGCAATCTGGGCAGTCTTGCTAGGCTCATACATGATGCGGACATTCCATGTCCTCACGTTTACTTTCGCTTTCATCGAGAGAAGAAAAGAGACATCGGCCAATTGGCTTTCCGAAGGCTTTCACTAAGTGGCATCATTTCGTCTCTCCGATTCCAGCGAGTAGTAGGTTTATTTTTTATATTTCCTTTGAAGTTTATTTAGCGGTTAAATTGGTTTTACGGGGTAGGGTTGCTAGCCTTATTCTCAACCTTCCCTCTCTATCCGGGCTGAGAACCGGCTAATAACTAATGAACTAGTTAACCAGGCGAGGTTGGTTTATTTGAGTGTGGACAATAATTTATGTTCGGAAGGTTATCCTGTAAATGATACTGTTTAAGTTTCTTATTTCTAATAAGCAGTTTAAAATGGAATTACTAGATAGCCTATTGGTGAAGTTTTTAGTCTTATCTCTGATCGGTTTTAAGTGCTTGGAATAATTTTATTAGATTTCATGAGTCATATTCGTGAATCTTCGCTGATTTTGGTAGATTTCCAGTGCTTTTTGTTATCTTGTGCGGAGATCTTTTCCGTTTGACTTACATTATACTTGCCTATTGAATAGTTGTCGCTTAATTTTTTTGGCTTGAGGTAATTATTCGTTTATTGATATATGGAGTTTTTATTGTGTGCCAACCACCGAAGCACTAATACCCAGTATGTGTTAATTTATAGACGGGACCTATTTACATCAAGTCGACAAGTTTAACGTTCATCATTCTAGCCATCTCATGTATGATGCTAGCTTTCAAGGCCTATTGTCTGGGTATGGTTTGGGATTGTTACAAATATTTGATGTTGAATCGAAGAGGTAACATACTGGATGATTGGTATTCTGACCAGTGGGGTAATTTGTCAACGTTTTGGAGTCTACTCCGAGCTGGACGTCCTCGAAACAACAATTCGACTGTTAACTCAGGTTCAGCAAATGAGTCTAATATAGGAACCCATCCTGATCCTGTTGCATACGACCCATCCAATGATTTACCAAAATATGAGGTAGGTGATTACTTCAACTGAAAATGATCGTTTCCATTACATTGCTGATACTGTGTTACAGAGTTAAGCACCACTTTATTTAACGTATCGGGCGTATTCTTCGCCATTATATCGTATTCCAAACAATGGATAACTGACATAAACAAAATCAACGGGGAACCTTGCACAAAGTGCATTGGTTCAGTTTGCCACAAGTGACAGTAACATGCAAAGAACAGGTGGGTAGAAAAAGTGATATCAAAGTAAACAAACGTATGTGTAAAGAATGAATTAAAAAACTCAAGATTAAGGTAAATGTCCGAACTTTAGACTGACAAAGTGTTAATACATTTGCGCCTTTGTGACTGATTTCCTGTCATGTCACCAAGGATCTCTAACCATTGATTCCTATTATATCGAGGACCCCACCTAGGTATTTTGCACCTTCTTACATGATTGACCAGCAGTCAGAAATTTCATGGATTGGTACCTTGTTTGGTCCAGCTACCTTGACTTATCTTCTAACCTAATCCTACTTTTTCATGATAATAGTGGCTAGCAGTTGAATCCAAGACGCACGTTTCGTCCAGTGCACCCATATGCTAATAGAGACCGATCAATTCAGTCCAATCAACGAAGGGATAATACAAGAAACAACGCTAGTCCTAAGTTGGCTAAAATTCCAAATTAATGATTGGTGTGGCTTGATATGTGCAGGATATGTCCGGGCCATCTTGGTGAAAGTTCGCTACGTGGATTGACTTAATTTCTTTGCCTAGTACTCTTGTAATCTCGATATTGTTCACATGGTGATTCCGATATATGCGAACATTTCTTAGAAGACACCTGTGATCAAGTACCTTTAACCTCTTCATATATTTTTTCGGCAAACATGACGTACAGCTGTATAATGGAACAGAGCGAACTGCAGTCCAGCATACTCATTCTGTAGTAGGTAATCGGATGTCTTGCCGGCGTCAGAAATGGCATACCTTGGTAATAGCCAAATAGGTCTTTTTTATACTGTCTAGTATTTCGTCAGCAAACGAGCCATCTGAACTGTGCAACTTTTCCAGTAATTCAAGTTTGTCAACGTTTGCCACCAATTCAGTCTCTGCGCTTGAACTGGGAGTAGCTGCAGATCAGTCTTGAAGTATCGTCCTATTTTGAAAGATGCGAAATGCTTGCGAAACATACTCATATTTCTGTTGAGGGCACCAGAATACTGCAAGACAGTGAGAGGCGTGCTATTTTAGGGGCAGACCTTTTCTGAACCCCATCCTTTTCACAGAGAAGGCAGCATCATAAACTGAAGGGACGTCCGTGAGAATCGCTTTATTGCCATCACACTCCGTCTACCCTGCAGTACGACCTCACCCTCAAACCACCATCATAAACTACCAATTTACGGTATGAAGAAAACTTTTTGTTTTATAGATATCTAACAGACCTTTCTGACATGATAAGTTCTTAAGGAACAAGCGTTCATTGGATCATTACGATATGCAAGGCCGGCTACCACGTCAAGGTAACAGCTAATGGCCGGAACAATGAATACTCAATTTACCAGGTCTCTGTGACTAATGTATATCTATATATTTTCTGATAGTGGTCACAAAACTTACCGTGTTAATTTCATTCATTTATATGATTGATATTATTGCCTTTTTATAATTCACAGGATATATTGAAAATTCCTGCAAATGCTTATGCCCCTCCACCCTATTACTGTTCTAACATCAGTGGAAACAACAGTCCAGCTGCAGCGGATGGTAATGCTGTTACACGAACTGTTATTAATACTAATAACTCAAATAATGTTAATACAACTGGTAATACACCACCTACGCCCAATGCAACTAACAAGGACGATACACAGACTCAGAGTTCACCAGCAGATGCTCATCCTTCGTGCTAATTTGATTCTATATAAAAGTAATCTACCCATTAAGGACTTATTGCAAGGTGGTATAGTTTTTGCATCAAATCATGATGAATGTTGATATGTTCTTAAAAGTTAATCTGAAAACATTTGTATTTCTGTGTATTTGCATACAAGCACTTATTTTTATTTTGCGCACGAAGATATGTTTGTTTGCTGATTTTCCGCCCCTGTTCTGCTTTCCAAAGTTTATTTCCAGCTCTTTTAAAGAGACATTAGAAGTCTGATTCACTAATTTCCAACTTACATTTTTCTCTCTCTTAAAGTTATACAATTATAATTACAGTTATAAATATGTATTTTAAGTTTATATCCTTACTAGTATCCTTATATATATATATATATATATATATATATATATTGCTCATCCACGTTTTGGCGCCCGTTTATCATCATCCATGCATTGATTTAAGTCTCCGTCTAAAAATATGGAAAGCTGCTACTGCCATTCCTCAGTGGCTTATTTGTTTTCATTGCATTGGGTAATCAAGTATCATTAAGATTTTCTAAGACGTTTACAGTTGAAAATTAGTTCTATACTATTAGCACTTTACTTGAAAAATTCTTATTATCTGACACACAATATATAAAATTTCTTTTGATGAAGCTAAATACTTGATTTTCTTTCGATTAAGACAGCTAAATTGCTTAGTTTGCACGGAGATACGGGCGGTAACTATATCTGACTTTATTGTCTGAGAATCTAAATTTTGAGGCTTGTTAATTTTATTTTGTATTGCTGACGAAGAAGGATAGTGATGCTAACAGGATGCATATATTCCAGCGCAGTTGAGTTTTCCGATTTCATATAAAACGCATTCCGAAGTTTAGTGATGCGATTTGATCGTCCTGTGTTAAGCGTATGAAGACTGTTTTATTTTGAAGAAAAATATCAAATCGTTTTGATTTGATGTAGTTTTTATCGTGACAACCTTCAGCATGAATCCCACAATATAGATTGAGTGTTGTAAACATTAAAAATTAATAAAATGTAACATTTGTAAAGGATGATGGGTCGTCGTTAGGTGCGAGCAGTTTTTTGGTGATAGCTGTGATGCAGCACAGATAGTCATCGAATAAACTTGCTCAGAGGCTAGATGTCAAAAATATAGAACAGGGATTTCTGACATCTTACCTTCTGCAGTTGTAATAATTACTCTAAACATAGTTCATATTGGCATGTCTTACGGCATGCAGTCAGAAATTATCATACTCCAGTAAATCAGCAAATGTGAATTCACCAACATAATTTCTATTTTAGCATGTCCCTGTCGACAATAAAAGCCCGTGTAGGTTCTTTTGATTCTTGGGACAGCACTATTCAGGTGTCCTACCGATGAGAACGATCACCAAGTGATTTTGTGCGATTTATAAGATGAAATCCATTTGTATACGCAGTCTACGTATTGAAGTCAACAGCTAACATCAGGATTCATCTGGAGCTTAGCTGATTAAAAAGGCCAGTTGCTTCATCGTAGGACACAACCTTGTTTTCACTTGAATTGCCATCCGTTAAGATGTATTCATGAATGACTGAGGCGAAGTTTCTTTTGCAGAGTCGCTTTTCTAACTGGAATCTTCGAGTTTAACAGTGCATCGAGGACTGCTAGTGGGGATACTGTTAAGTTAAGCAACTTTGATGCTAATGCAGCGTTGACATAGGCAAGGTTGAACTCTGATGCATCAGGATCCTAGGATGACTGTACTTCAAACAGTACACTAGCCTTTTTAAAGTCCGTCGAGATACCGCACACGTTGTTATCGGGATTTTATGAAGTTCGAATCATACATCTTCATTCTTCGTGCATCAAGATTTGAATGTTGAAGTCAGCAAACCCAAGTAACATGCAGGTTTTCAGATTAATTGTACTTTAGTATAGCTTTGTTAAATTGACGCAAAACAGTATAGATAGACGAATTGCTACTAGTTCCATATTAGATTTGTTTATCTGGTACATAGTAGACAGTGAGTGATACAGTATTATTTTCTTCATGACGTTTTGAACATAAATTACTGCTCATTATCATATCAATGTAATCATACCACTTTCTACAACTGATTTTTACAGTCCTGTCACCCCATATACTTGTTTTTATTGGTAGTAAATTTTTTCAGACCTCTGGTATACGTGTTGCATTATTTCTACTACATATGTTGGCTGGATGTCGATTCGTTGAACAAAGATTCAGTAATCAATCTCTCTCTCCACCTAATTATATTTGACTTAAATACGGTGGCTTTGTCCCACCCATCTTATAGTGTACTTGTATGTTAATGCATGCATGACAATAGGTGAGGTGTTTTCTAGAATTATTGATCTTATTCGGGTTTGTTATTCTATATTAGCTAAGTTCCTATGTTCGGCTATTGCAACTACCCCGACCGGTTTAATTTGACCTCGCAGTCACTACATGGAATTTGATAGGTTCGATTATTTTGTTGAATTACTTTTATGGGATCCTTAAGCTAGCCGACAAAGCTTATCTGTGAGTGAGTTTGTAGGTGTGAATGCCACCCTAATTCCAGCTTTGTTAAAGATTTTACGTTAAGTTTCTGATGTACCTTGTTTATAAGGTAGCACAACGGAGGTTGTAAACTCCTTTCTACTTGTGTTGTCCTTATTATTCGTTCTCGTGTTACTGTTATCTTTTCATTTCTTATGTGTTCGTATGAATTTCTTAATAAACTGCAGAGGATAATTCTTAGTTATTAGGGCTCCTTTACGTGTTTCTGTTCCTTATTTAGGTCGTCGCACTGACTACTCAGTTTTCTAGCTCTATCATTTAGACATTTGACTAAATGTGACTTAATTGACGTTAATTGGATGAGATGAGTGTTGGGATGTTGGTTTTCTGTAGAGGGTAGTAATCAAACTACCGTTTGCTGTCCGTTTTATCCTATAATTCAATGTAAGTAGTTCTCCTTTTTCATTTTCTACCTCGTAAGTGAATTGGATTGCGTTTACTACTGAGTTTTATGTGTGAGTAAATTGTCGATATGTTTCGATTTCAACTCTAAGTGTGTCATCCACATATCGCCATCATATGTTTAGTACAATACGAGACGTTTGCAAAGCCATATTTTCCCAACTATCCATAAATATATCTGCTACGATTGGGGATATTGGCGATTCCATTGCTACTTTTGTTTGTTTGTATATTTTGTCCTGAAACTTGAATATTGTGGAGGTCAGGTACAACTGTATGCCTAATATGATCTCATCAACTGATATCTTAGTTCTGTGAGTAAGTTCTGAGTCAATATTTAGTTGACTTCTGACTGCCTCCAGTGCCATACTGATTGGTATTTTAGTATAAAGACTTGTTGCATCGAAGCTAACCACTTTTTCATCCTCTTGTATGTGGAGGTCATTAAGCCTTAGTTTTAACTCGTGAGAGTTTACTAGTCTGTAATTTGAACAGTTCCTAATACGACAATATCGATGCTAAGGGCGTTGCTAATTCATATGATTGGGGGTATTTCTGAAGTCAACTATAGGTCTAATGGAATAACCTAGTTTATGAATCTCAATAATGCCATAAATCCTGCTAGGATTATTATTTTTAGGCATTCAATTAAACCATTTAGACTCAACTAGCGATCATTTCAGTCGGTGTATCAGATAGGCTGTAGATTTAATTTTATTCATGATCCTATCTAGAGATTTCTTGACCTCTTCATATGGTTCTCTTTAGATATGCTCGTCAATTTTGTTGAAGTAATCTAATTTGTCCATAACTACTATTGAATTACCTTTATAAGACTTAACAATTACTATATTATTGTCATTCCGTAGATTATTCAGAGCTGAATTTTCAATTTCGTCTATTCAGTGTTAACGCACACTGCTCTAACCTGTTCAGCAGTCGCTGCATTCACCGAGCTTAACGCTACTTACATGCTAGGTATGACATCTCCCGGTTTTAAATGACCTATTATCACGTTGAAGTTTAGTGCTTTTTCAGTAATTTCGTCTCATCTGAGGTTAGGCTTGTCGAGGAGAGATTGACTACCCACTTTGTCCAATCGATGTTTGATGTTGCTTCATTTGTAATTTGTTTATCTTCCAAGGGATATTTTTCTTGAATTAATTTGTTGAACTTCTTAATTTGAATGTTTCTGGATTTCTTGAAGTTAGCTGAGCTTTATCTGATATTTGTATAAGAAATTAATAGTCTCTGCTGTTTACTATCTTCATAAGTTTATATTTCAGTTGTTCAGTTGCTTAACTTCCTGATAATCCTGTGAATTTCTTCCTTGAGACAGTTTGCTCTTTTGATTTTGTCAGTAAATATTGGAATATGTAGGAGAAAATATTTAGGAATAATTTGGTTTTTCTTACAACGAACATTAGAATTACGATGACTTGTGGGACTTGCTTCAGTTTGTAAGGGTCGTATGGGTTTATCGAATTAAATTCTGCCACAGTGCCCAAGCTTTACACCTATATTAAATTGCTACTAGGCTAGACAAAGAGAAATGTATGCATGAATATAGTAGTTAAAAGACCATTGTGACTACAAATTTTCAGGTAGAACAAGTTTGCGAGTTAGGAATGTGCTTTAGCGTTTTTGTGTTAGTATATTATTTGATGGTTTGAATAAGGTAGTCGAAGCAGTTTTCTGTTTGGCACGACCATTCCCTAGTGTTTGAATGAAAGCGAAACAGGTCTAGATGCTACTTCTCTATGCTTATGAGTGATCAAGATAGAGTCATGTATTATTTGGTCCCTTTAGATTCTATGTGCATAATTAGTTTAAAGTCAGTTTCTTAACACTCCATACTGATTAGTCGGGTGATAAGCTCCTCTTAATACTTTATTAGTCGACAAGAACTAAATTAGGTCTAATTTTAGTGCTGAATTATTGTAATTATGAAAATATGCATCAGGTACATTTAGCTAATCATCTCCAAACCTGACGAAGTACGCCTCCTAGACTGAAGTGCTATAATATAATAGCTATAATCAAGCATAAAACCAAAAATATAAAGAGTCAATATACGAAAAGGTCTATGTATATATGTGCAAATAATCAATGAGACCATTTTATGGATGAGCAAACAAAACACTTGAGTATCAGTCTGCTTTGTTTTATTATTTCTCTAAACTTACTACAAATACATTTCTAAGTAGTGAAGTAAACCGAATTTTCTTTCAACTCTGAATCGATATCACTTGAAAAGGTGTTGAGGACCCAGAAAAATTGATACATTCTAGTTTATGAGTCCATCTTTTTAGATTAAATCGATGGATTTACACTAGCATATTGCTGTTAAATTACTTCTCAGAATCCAGTGGTGTTATAGCAGAAGGAAAAGTAGAAAATATGGGCCTCGAATATGCATTACCTTCTTTCTAA